CGCTTCTTGGTTCTGGAGAGGGATTACGGGAAATATCACTCGCCTGACCCTTACCAGAATTGCAGACAAAGCGCAGCGATTAAAACGGTCTTAGGCCTGAGAGATAGTACAGGTTCCCTGACAAAATCCAGGTCAGGGATTCTGGAGGTCTCGAGGTCCTTTTTATAGAGATCTTCTGGGGAAGAAGCACCTCGACCGGGAGAGGATGTTAAGTTTTCTGGACTCTACACCGGGTCTGGGGAGTGACGTCCCGCTTCCAAGTTTTGATGGACGAGATAACAAGGCAGAGGTAGCCAAAGCCATAGACAGTCTGGCAATTAAGAAAACACCTAGGCCAGATGGTTTGACGGCAGAATTTTTATAAATCTTTCAAGACTAGCTTGGCACCCCATCTCAATCTCGCGGAGGTATTTAACTGCTGTCTGCAAGAAGGTTCACTCCCTACCCTCCATGAGAAAGTCTGCTGTTATCCTGCTGTCAAAGGGTAAGGACCCTTCAATGATTGAGAACTGGCACCCCATCAGTCTTCTCATGTTGATAGAAAGATTCTGGCAAAGAGTCTTTTCTGGCGCCTGGCGTCAGTCGCAGACACGCTGTTTTCTGGTCGGCAGCACTGCTCGGTCCAGGGCAGGAGCACCTTCACAGCGGTGTTAGCTGTTCCGGGAGGTTCTGGAGCGGTGCAGGGCTGAAGGCTGGGGAAAGTATTATGCTGACATTGGATCAGGCCAAGGCTTTTGATCGGGTTAGTCATGAGTACCTTTGGCATCTTTTGACAGGTATGGCCTGGAGGGGGGGTTCATTGGGCTGGCTCAAGACATTGTATAGAGAGGCGGAGAGCTTCATGCTGGTGAACGGTTGGATTGGGCAGCCCTTTGGGGTTGGCTCTGGTTGTGCCAGGGATGCCCGCTGAGTCCTCTGCTCTACGTCTTTTGCGGTCGACCCCTTCGTAAGGAGGCCTGGACTGTGGAGCATTGTGCGGGGTACCGGTGGGTGTTGCTGGTGAGCCACCCCTGAGGGTCATTGCCTACGTTGATGACGTTTCTGTCTCTTTGTCTCTGGGGCTGTGGAGGCGCAGGTGGTTGTCTCAGAGATAGAGCAGTATTTCCGAGGTATCGGGGTCCAAGATCAATCAGGACAAGTCTGAAGTCCTTTGGTTAGGTGTGGAGGGCGAGGCTTTGTGCTCCCGGATGGCTTTCCCCTGTGCCTCAGCAGTCCGTCAAAGTATTAGGCATTGAATTTGGCCCGGCCGATTATGGCAAATCGAATTGGGGAGGCCAGGCTGACCAATGCTGAAGTCAAGGTGAAATGCTGGAAGGGGGTGGTGGCTCTCCTTGAGGGAAAGGGTTGATCTGATCAAAACTTAACCTGATCCCCATATTTTTGTATGTCAGCACAGTTTGCATCTTGCCAGAGTCTCTTTATACGAGGATCTACAGTTGCTTTTTTCCAGCTGTTATGGGGAAGCAGACTGAACCTTGGAGAAGCGAGATGTGACTTACCTATCCAGGAGGAAGGGTGGCTTAGGTATGGTCAACCCGTAAGTCTTCTTCTCTCTGGTGTTTTGAAGCACAATTTTGGTAACATGCTGGCAGAGAGACCTCCTGCATGGGTAAGCCTCTTCCGGAACTGGTTTAGGCCTTTTCTGAGTTGCTGGGAGAGTGGTTGGGCTAGTGAAAAGCCTAAGGGTTAAGCACGGGTGAGCTCCCGACTTATGTTGCCCCGAGCCTGAAAATACTTAGGCGGTGGCGTGTGACGGCGGAGGATATTAAGTCCCTCCCTAGAAGCTCCTGGGGTGAGAGGATTGTGTCCGTTGTTTGTCATGCGCCGCTGGCCTTGAGGGATTGCCCTGGGCCATATATATGCGGGAGGGGCTTACGCTTATTAAATTCTGAGCGGATTCCCTTCAAGTTTAGGGACCAGGCCTGGCTCGTTTTTCACGGCAGACTCTTCGTGAGGGGAAACTTGAAGTACCTCTCTCTGGATGACCGCGGTTGTCCGAGAGAGGAGTGTCGGGGTGAAGTGGAAACTATGGACCACTTCCTGCTTCAGTGTCCCTTCAATGTTGAAGTCTACAAAGAGGTGGGGAGTGCTCTGGGTGTTCCTTTCTTGCACTGCATGTCTTATGCAGAGTGGGTATATGGAGCATTGCAAGATCGCCGGGGTTTTGATTTGGACACTCTTTATTTAGTTAGCCTAGTTGTCCGGTATTTCACGTGGAATGCACAGTGCCAAGTGTCCATACGCGGAAGAAAGTCCTTACCGTCCTGGAGGTGGTGCGCGGCATTCTTGATGAGGTGGGGAAAGTTCGGGGTCTTGAGAAAGACAGGTGGCGGCGAGGGGTCTGAGGTTATAAAGGCGTGGAGGGGAATATCAGGCCTGTAGTTGCCGCCTGTTGATCTCTGGGTGTTGGTAAACTATCCTGTTTTTTTTCTCCTTCCACCCTCCCTTAGATTTTCAGAGATGATTTTTTTTGAAGAAAGGCTACATGGACCCAAAGATCTATGTTCCTCAGTCTAAGTAATGTTGTTTTGTGTGATGTTTTTGTACAGTGTTTGACTATAGGCCATGTAGGCTACATATGCTATTGTATTCGGCCATAAGTGCTTTCTTATTAGGCCGTAAAGGCCATATATGCAGATTTATTGGGCCATAAAGGCACGTTTTGTTTCTAGGCCATAAAAGCCGTGAATGCAAATCTTTGTTTCCGGCTGTAAGGGCCTTGCGTACATATTGCTTCAGCCATGAGGACTCTAGTATGGCTTTGAAATGTTTACTTTTATTTTTGCACATGATGGAATGTGATGTTTTATGTTATTTATTTTTTTTTTATACTTTTGTAGAAAATGTTTGTTGGTTGTGCGTTTTTCTAAAATAAAACAATATCTCCTCCCACCATTATATTGGCAAGCCCATTCCTGACAGTACCCCCCCTCAAGGAGCGGCCTCAGGATGCTCCAAACAGTCCCTAGCTGGACAAAATGTTCCACCGCCCGGGTCTGGTAACTGGCAGGATATCAAAGACTGGGCACATCGGGCAGGACTCCGAGCAAAAGGCACATCGGTCAGGACTCCGGCAGAGGCACATCGGGCAGGACTCCGGGCAGAGGCACATCGGGCAGGACTCCGGGCAGAGGCACATCGGGCAGGACACCGGGCAGAGGCACATCGGGCTGGACTCCGGCAGAGGCACATCGGGCTGGACTCCGGGCAGAGGCACATCGGGCTGGAACTCCCGGGCAGAGGCACATCGGGCTGGACTCCGGCAGAGGCACATCGGGCTGGACACCGGGCAGAGGCACATCGGGTTGGACCCGGGCAGAGCAGCAGGCGCCGGGCCACCAGGCGGAGCGGCGGGCGCCGGGCCCAGTGGCGGCGATGGCGGGCTCATCACCAGGCATCAGGTCATTTGGCTCGCCAGCGGGCACCACGTCATCTTGGCAAGGCAGTGGGCACCGAGTCACCAGCACGACAGTGGGCTCCAAGTCAGCTGGCATGACCGCGGGCACGGGGTCAGACATTGGATCGTCTGGCTCGACAGCGGGCATCGGTCACCAGGCATCAGGTCATTTGGCTCGCCAGCGGGCACCGCATCATCTGGCAAGGCAGTGGGCACCGATGTCACCAGGCACGACAGTGGGCTCCGAGTCAGCTGGCATGACCGCGGGCACGGCGTTAGACATTGGATCGTCTGGCTCGACAGCGGGCATCGGGTCACCAGGCATCAGGTCATTTGGCTCGACAGCGGGCACCGCGTCATCTTGGCAAGCAGTATGGGCACCGAGTCAATTGGCACGACAGCGGGCACCTGGGGTCATCAGGTACCCGGATCGCCTGGCTCGACAGCATGCACCGGTAATCATCTGGCGACGGGATCGCTCTGGCTCGACAGCGGGCATCGGGTTTTTTTTTTTTTTTTTTTTCGGGTCCACCAGGCATAGACAGCGGGCACTTGGATCATTTTTTTTTCAGCCATTGGTATCCTCCTGGCTCGACAGCGGGCATCGGTCACCAGGCATGACAGCGGGCACTGGTCATCAGGCAATGGTCCGTCTGGCTCGACAGCGGGCATCGGGTCCAGGCCAGGTCGCACTGGGTCATCAGGGCATTGGGATCCGTCAATCGACAGGCATGCGGGTCACCAATCATGACAGCGGGCACTGGGTCATCAGCATTGTATCGACTAGGCTCGACAGTGGGCCATCGTCACCAGGCATTGACAGCGGGCACTGGGTCATCAGGCATTGGATCGTCTGGCTCGACAGCGGGCATCGGGTCACAGGCATGCATGACAAGCGGGCACTGGGGGTCATCAGGCATTGATCGTCTGGCTCGACAGCGGGCATTAGGGTCACCCAGGCATGACAGCGGGCACTGGGTCATCAGGCAGTGGGTCGTCTGGCTCGACTAGCGGGCATCGGGGTCACCAGGCATGACAGCGGGCACTGGTCACAGGTCATCGTCAGGCAGTTGGCAATATCGTCTGGCTCGACAGCAGGGCATCGGGTCACCAGGCATGACAGCGGCACCGGGTCATCAGGTATTGGGTATCGTCTGGCTCGACAGCGGGCACGCCGGGTCACCAGGCATGACAGTTTGGCCACTGGGTCATCAGGCATTGGATCAGCTGGCTCACATCGGGCATATGGTCACCAGGCATGACAGCGGCACTGGGTCATCAGGCAGTGGGTCGTCTGGCTCGACAGCGGGCATCGGGTCACCAGGCATGACAGCGGGCACTGGGTCATCAGGCATTGGATCGTCTGGCTCGACAGGGGGCATCGGGTCACCAGGCAATGACAGCGGGCACCGGGTCATCAGGTACCCGGATCGTCTGGATCGACAGCGGGCACCGGTCATCGGCGTTGGACGTCTAGCTCGACAGCGGGCATCGGGTCACCAGGCATGACAGCTGGGCACTGGGTCATCAGGCATTGGATCGTCTGGCTCGACAGCGGGCATAGGGTCACCAGGCATGACAGCGGGCACCGGGTCATCAGCATTGGATCGTCTGGCTCGACAGGGGGCATCGGGTCACCAGGTATGACATGGCGGGCACCGGGTCATCAGGTACCGGATCGTCTGGCTCGACAGCGGGCATCGGGGTCACCAGCATGACAGCGGGCACTGGGTCATCAGGCATTGGATCGTCTAGCTCGACAGCGGGCTGGGTCACCAGGCATGACAGCGGGCAACCGGGTCATCAGGCATTGGATTGTCTGGCTCGTGCGGGGCATCGGGTCACCATGGTATGGCAGTGGGCACTGGGTCATTTCAGGCGTGATAGGATCATCAGGCTGGTTCATCAGATGGGGGCCTGACAGAGACATCAGGCTGGGTACAGACAGGCTGAAGTACTTGGTTGCCGAAAGAGGCTGAACCACGTTCTCAGATGGGAGGCTGACCGGTTTTGGATACTGTTTTAGGTACTGGTTGGAAAGAAATTTTCGTTTTTTTTCTGGTTTTAGTTACCGGAGCACTGTAAGTAAGCGCAGGTTTGTAAACGGATGGAGCAGCTGAAGACAGAGAAGAGCTGGAGGATGGAACAGAGGAGGGAGCAGTTGCTACAGAGGACTTCTTTACAGGTTAAAGAAAGGATAGGTGCAGCGAGTGGGAGCAGAGGACTGATATGTGGTAGTTAGCAGAGTATACTACTGGGCCATCGCTGGGGGTGCTGTCGGGGATGTAGGAAGAGTGCCTTGATCGAGAGCTGAATGACGCCCTTTTTTTTGTAAAGCTGACTGAGGCTGGGTGCAACAAGTCTGACCATGTCTGCAGTATGGGTGTTTGAACAAAGCTCAGCTTACACAAAGCCTGTCTGGTCAAAGACTGCTGTCAGGAATGGACTGGCCAGCAATGGTGGGACTCACCTGCCTTTTGATCTGCAGTACCGCAGGGCTGGCCACGGATGCTCGCCCAGCAATCAGAGACTCAACTTTGCAGCCAGCTAACACCTGGAACTGATTATGCTGGGGTATTTAAGGATGGCCAGACCCACAGACTCTGCCTTGGTGTTGTGTTTGTCCTGGGCCCTGTATCTGTCCTGCATCCTGTTTCTGTTCCTTTGCTGACCCTGCCTGATCTGAACTGCTGCTGACTTCTCCTGCTCTGATCCCGGCTCGCTCCTGACCATCCCTCTGCCTGACCCTCTGTACTACGCTGCTTGCTACCTGCTGAACCTGGCCTGTGACCCCAACCATTCTCCGCTTGCTCCCCCTGTACCTACCTGCCCAATTGATATTGACAAAACCCCCTGCCTGCCTGACGACGCTTGCTTGTATGTACTGTTATCTGTGGGTGGTTGGTTGGGTTTGTTTGCACTGTATTATGTTTAGTATTGCACTGCGTTTATGTTTGTATTGTTAGTATTAATAAATTATATTGTTTATCACATATCTGAAGTCTGCGTTTCCCTGCGTCAGTCACACATCTCTGGTCATACCTGGGAGCCCTGACATTACACCAAGGCCAATCCTGACCAGAAGTGGCTGCACAGGGAAGCCATCTTGGCTTGTTGATGGGAAGGATGGATCTTGATGAGGGTTGTGTATTTATATCTGCTAGTGTTGATGACCGGGAGTAATGCTTATCAAACTCTGAAGGAGTATCCCCGGGATGAACTGCTAGAATGTATACGGCTCGCTCATGTTCTAGTAGATCAGGGCACAGAATTCTCTGAGGTGCAGCCATTGATTGAGGTTTGTGCGGAGTTGGTTTCATCTGGTTCCCCCGAATGCAGGGATGAATTTTTTGCCGCCATTTAGTGCAGACCAGTAGAGTCCCTGGTGTGGTTATTAGAGGATGATGTGGGTTACTTTCTGGAGCGTTATTCCACATGTTCACCACAGACACTAAGAGATTGTATAAACGCAGTGCAGTCATTGACCAGACAGACTTTGTGTAAGCTCAGCTTTGTTCAACCCCTACTGCAGACATGGACAGACTTGTTGCACCCAGCAGCCTCAGTCAGCTTACAAAAACCCAGTCCTGCTTCAACTTTACTCCTGTATTACCCAACAGCTCCTCCAGTTACAGCCCAGTATACTTGGCTATCTACCGCATGTCAGTACCCCTGTTTCCCACTCCGCGCTGCACCTATCCTGCCTTTAACCCTGTCAAAAAGCCCTCTGTAGCACTGCTGCTCCCTCTCCTGTTCCATCCCTCCAGTTCTTCTCTGTCTCCAGCTGCTCCATTCGTTTGCAGACCTGCGTTTACTTGCAGTGCTCCAGTAGTTAAAACCAGAAAAAAGCGAAAATTCTTTCCAACCAATACCATCCTGCCAGTATCCAAACCGGTGAACCTGCCTTCCGTGGTTCAGCCTGAAGCCTCTACTCAGCCTGAAGCCTCTACTCGGCCTGAAGCCTCTACTCGGCCTGAAGCCTCTACTCGGCCTGAAGCCTCTACTCGGGCCTGAAGCCTCTACTCGGCCTGAAGCCTCTACTCGGCCTGAAGCCTCTACTCTCGGCCTGAAGCCTCTACTCGGCCGAACGCCGCATTCAGCCTGATGCCTCACCCAGCATGATGAACTGATCCAGCCTGACGATCCTATTAGGCCAGTTGACTCGATGCCGCTGTTGATTCCAGATGATCCAGTACCTGATCCGATGCCCCGCTGTCGAGCCAGACAATCCGATACCTGATGACCCGGTGCCCCACTGTCGTGCCTGTTGACTCGGAGCCCACTGTCTTGCCAGGCGACTCGGAGCCCGCTGTTCCGCCAGACGACTCGGTGCCCGCTGTTCCGCCAGTTTGACTCGGTGCCCGCAGTCTTGCCAGACGACTCGGTGCCCGCAGTCTTGCCAGACGACTCGGTGCCCGCAGTCTTGCCAGACGACTCGGTGCCCGCAGTCTTGCCAGACGACTCGGTGCCCGCAGTCTTGCCAGACGACTCGGTGCCCGCAGTCTTGCCAGACGACTCGGTGCCCGCAGTCCTTGCCAGACGACTCGGTGGCCCGCAGTCTTGCCAGAACGACTCGGTGCCCGCAGTCTTGCCAGACGACTCGGTGCCCGCAGTCTTGCCAGACGACTCGGTGCCCGCAGTCCCGCCAGTTGATTCGATGCCCTGCTTGTTCCGCCAGACGACTCGGTGCCCCGCTGTTCCGCCAGTTGACTCGGTGCCCGCAGTCTTGCCAGACGACTCGGTGGCCCGCAGTCCCGCCAGACGACTCGGTGCCCGCAGTCCCGCCAGTTGACTCGGTGCCCGCTGTTCCGCCAGTTGACTCGATGCCCGCAGTCTTGCCAGACGACTCGATGCCCGCAGTCTTGCCAGACGACTCGGTGCCCGCAGTCTTGCCAGACGACTCGGTGCCCGCCGTCTTGCCAGACGACTCGGTGCCCGCCGTCTTGCCAGACGACTCGGTGCCCGCCGTCTTGCCAGACGACTCGGTGCCCGCCGTCTTGCCAGACGACTCGGTGCCCGCCGTCTTGCCAGACGACTCGGTGCCCGCCGTCTTGCCAGACGACTCGGTGCCCGCCGTCTTGCCAGACGACTCGGTGCCCGCCGTCTTGCCAGACGACTCGGTGCCCGCCGTCTTGCCAGACGACTCGGTGCCCGCCGTCTTGCCAGATACGACTCGGGTGCCCGCCGTCTTGCCAGACGACTCGGTGCCCGCCGTCTTGCCAGACGACTCGGTGCCCGCCGTCTTGCCAGACGACTCGGTGCCCGCCGTCTTGCCAGACGACTCGGTGCCCGCCGTCTTGCCAGACGACTCGGTGCCCGCTGTTCCGCCAGTTGACTCTGTGCCCGCTGTTCCGCCAGTTGACTCGGTGCCCGCAGTCTTGCCAGACGACTCGGTGCCCGCTGTTCCGCCAGTTGACTCGGTGCCCGCAGTCTTGCCAGACGACTCGGTGCCCGCAGTCAGTCTTTGCCAGACGACTCGGTGCCCGCAGTCTTGCCAGACGACTCGGTGCCCGCAGTCTTGCCAGACGACTCGGTGCCCGCAGTCTTGCCAGACGACTCGGTGCCCGCAGTCCCGCCAGTTGACTCGATGCCCGCTGTTCCGCCAGTTGACTCGGTGCCCGCCCCGCTTCGTCTGGGGGCCCGAGACCTGTTGCTCCGCCTGAGGGCCCGAGACCTGTCGCTCCATCTGGGGGTCCGGCGCCCGCCGCTCCGCCTGAGGGCCCGAGACCTGTAGCTCTGCCTGGGGGTCCGGCGCCCGCCGCTCCGCCTGAGGGCCCGAGACCTGTCGCTCCATCTGGGGGTCCGGCGCCCGCCGCTCCGCCCGGGGGCCCGAGGCCTGCCGCCCCGCCCGGGGGCCCGGTGCCTGCCGCCCCGCCCGGGGGGCCCGGTGCCCTGCCGCTCCGCCCGGGGGCCCGGTGCCTGCCGCCCCGCCCGGGGGGGCCCGGTGCCTGCCGCCCCGCCCGGGGGCCCGGTGCCTGCCCGGAGTCCTGCCCGATGTGCCTCTGCCCGGAGTCCTGCCCGATGTGCCTCTGCCCGGAGTCCTGCCCGATGTGCCTCTGCCCGGAGTCCTGCCCGATGTGCCTCTGCCCGGAGTCCTGCCCGATGTGCCTCTGCCCGGAGTCCAGCCCGATGTGCCTCTGCCGGAGTCCAGCCCGATGTGCCTCTGCCCGGAGTCCAGCCCGATGTGCCTCTGCCCGGAGTCCAGCCCGATGTGCCTCTGCCCGGAGTCCAGCCCGATGTGCCTCTGCCCTGCCCGGAGTCCAGCCCGATGTGCCTCTGCCCGGAGTCCAGCCCGATGTGCCTCTGCCCGGAGTCCAGCCCGATGTGCCTCTGCCCGGAGTCCAGCCCGATGTGCCTCTGCCCGGAGTCCAGCCCGATGTGCCTCTGCCCCGAGTCCAGCCCGATGTGCCTCTGCCCGGAGTCCAGCCCGATGTGCCTCTGCCCGGAGTCCAGCCCGATGTGCCTCTGCCCGGAGTCCAGCCCGATGTGCCTCTGCCCGGAGTCCAGCCCGATGTGCCTCTGCCCGGAGTCCAGCCCGATGTGCCTCTGCCCGGAGTCCAGCCCGATGTGCCTCTGCCCCGGAGTCCAGCCCGATGTGCCTCTGACCGGAGTCCAGCCCGATGTGCCTCTGCCCGGTGTGCCTCTGCCCGGAGTCCAGCCCGATGTGCCTCTGCCCGGTGTACCGCTGCCCGGAGTCCTGCCCGGTGTGCCAGTCTTTGATATCCCGCCAGTTACCAGACCCGGGCGGTGGAACATTTTTCCCAGCTAGGACTGTTTTGGAGCGTCCTGAGGCCGCTCCTTGAGGGGGGGGTACTGTCAGGAATGGACTGGCCAGCAATGGTGGGACTCACCTGCCTTTTGATCTGCAGTACCAGGGCTGGCCAGCGGATGCTCCCAGCAATCAGAGACTCAACTTTGCAGCCAGCTAACACCTGGAACTGATTATGCTGGGGTATTTAAGGGATGGCCAGACCCACAGACTCTGCCTTGGTGTTGTGTTTGTCCTGGCCCTGTATCTGTCCTGCATCCTGTTTCTGTTCC